GTATCCGGTTTAATCAAAATCATGTTGAGTTAAAAAAAAAAAAAAAAAAAAAAAACAGAATTCACGGCGATAGGTGTCGGTGACTGTGATGGGTTCGTAAAAGGCAAAGGCTTTGATTGAACACTGACCAAATCACACCCAGAAATTACATTTAAAAGAAAGTTATATATTTTTGACAAAATCATCACAGATTTGTGAAATCTTTGGTCTCATTTGTCTTAGGTTCTCTTCTAAACCATTCTCAGTGAAACCCTTGGAAACACATTTGGAGACAGAGGAGGAGCAGAGTGTAATAATGGGTGTGGATTTGAGGCAAGTGGTGGCTGGAATCCTCACCATTACAATGTTTGTAATGCTCGGACAAATGCTTCATAGAGATTACTTTGATGCTGTTCAGGTATATCACTAACCCCACTCACATGTTGTCTCTGAGCTTTAATTCAAAGTGGGTAGAGGTTCTGTAATTTGTGAGATCTATAGTTTAGTTTATACAGAGAGTCTTATGGGTTTTATTCATTCTGGGTCAGGATGTTGCATTGATCTTAAAAGACTCATACTTTGGAGATAATGATTGTAAAAAGCTTCAAGCTTTGTGCAGGTTCAAGGAGAGGCACATGATATTGAGTTCCATGGATCAAAAGTAGCTCTTGTAGAAGATGGACTTGTTAGATCAAGTGAAGGCGGGCCTTGGATGGAGGATAGCCCTTCACTTAAACCTTGTTGGTCAATCTCTCCACCTGGTATATATATTTGCCTCTCTGCTTTCAAATCTTCTCTGCATTTTTTTTTTTGGAATGTTTTTGCTTCAATGTTTCTGTTTTTTTAGATGAAGTTGTCTTCTCAAAGGGTTATGTTACATTCTCCTTAACCAATGGTCCGGAGTACCATATCTCTCAGGTATTGACTCTTAAAGTGTTCTGCTTTAGATATGTTCTCTTCTTTCTTCTCTTATGTTTAATTTTATCTTCTTGTTTAGATTACTGATGCGGTGATGGTGGCTAAGCATCTTGGAGCAACGCTCGTGCTTCCTGATATACGAGGAAGCAAACCTGGTGATGAAATGTTAGTCTTTTATGTTTTGGTTTCCGCAATATTGTTTCTCTGAGGCTTATGAACAAGTTTTAATTGCTTTACCAGGAACTTTGATGATATCTATGATGTGGACAAACTAGTTAAAAGCTTGGAAAGCATCGTCAAAGTTGTGAAGAAACTCCCAAGCCACGTATCTTTAAGAGACATTGCCATTGTTAAGGTTCCTGCTCGAGTTGCAGAAGACTACATCAAGGAACATATTGACCCCATCTTCAAATCAAAAGGCAACATCAGAGTTACAACTTATTTCCCTTCCGTGAATTTGAGGAAATCTTCTCTGGATGGTGAGACCGACCCGGTTTCTTGTTTGGCAATGTTTGGTTCCTTGGAGCTGCAACCTGGAGTGAATGATCTGGTTGAGTCGATGATTCAGCGGCTTAAGACACATAGCAAGAACTCTGGTGGCCGTTTCATAGCCATAGACTTGAGGGTTGAGATACTTGAAAAGAAAAACTGCCGTGAAACAGGTGCAGCTGGTTCCAAAACCTGTTACAACGCACAAGAGATCGCATTGTTCTTGAGGAAGCTTGGATTTGGCAGTGATACAACTATATACTTGACTCAGCCAAGATGGGAGAGCAGCCTCAATATTCTTAAGGACATTTTTCCGAAAACGTTTACTAAGGTGTGTAAGATCTTTCATTCTTTGTTCAGTCTCTGTAGTTATCTTCCTTTTGCTAATCTTTGATTGTTTCTGAAAATGGCAGGAGGCTATAATGCCAGAAGACAAGAAATCGAAGTATCTTGAGTTGGAAAATTCAGAGTATGAAAATGTTATTGACTTCTACATTAGTTCAAGGAGTGATGTATTTGTGCCGGCCATTCCTGGTCTGTTTTACGCCAATACAGTTGGTAAAAGGATAGCTTTAGGCAAGCCTCAAGTGTTGGTTCCAGCCGAGATCTCAGGAACATCTGGTCTTTCCACTGATTACATCTCTCCATATATCTCAAAGAAGAACCACTTGGCGTATTCATGCTTTTGCTAAACTTCTCTGGTGAAATGTTTTTGCCAAAAGTGGTTCTTGAAGCCAAGGAAGGTTCCTCTCA